ACTCCTACTACATGCCTCACTTCCCAGTGTTCACTGCTTCCAAGACCAGTCCGTGCCGTCCGGTGTGGTGTGGTAACGAGCTCTCCTCCTACCTCTGTCGCGGTTATATCTCAGATGTGGAGGCTACCATTATCAGTTCATGGATGGCGCTGCGCACTAGCCCTTTCTATGCGACCACAGATCTCAGCCGTGCGTTCTACTCGCTCAAGGTCAAGAAAAGTGATCGCAAGTACCAGCGCTTTATCTACCGTGGATCTGCCTTCGAGTTCGCCGTTGTCATGATGGGTTTGCGTCCCAGTCCGGCCATGCTTATGCGAGCTTTGCGTCCTATCGCTTCTCTGGCAATGTACATATTGACGTTTCTCTTCGGTGACCCCGGTCCGCAGGGATCCGCTATCGATCCTGCTTTTGTTCGGCCCGGACCGATCACTCGCCACTTTGCCACCTACGGAGACTTCTCCAGTTACAACACGGCGCTATCCTGGTTGCGTCTATTCCTGGATGATGCTACGCTAACGGCTAAAACAGAGACTGCAAGATCGACGGGCATCGAGGTCTTCAGAGGAGTCGCCAGATACTTTGGTTTTCTTTGTGAAGAAGACAAAGAGAGCGACGACACTAGTGCTGGCGTAGCGAAGCATTTGGGTGTTCTGATCCACCACGGCTCCCTGATATCACCAGTCCGCGTGGCACCCCTATCCTCTCTACCGGAGACCTCCTTCAGCGAGCTTGGCGAAGATACTCTCCTTAGCCTTGACCATGCTCCTACACTCTCACTGGAGCACTTCACTCATATGGATGCACTTTCCTTCTGTGGCCTCGACAATCTCTCGGACCTAAGCGTCACCCCTCGGATGGTTGACTCATGGCTACGTCAATTCTTCGATCCGATGGGGCTTTGGCTGGAGCTTATGCTACGTGGTCGACTTCTACATCGTAAACTCTCCTCTGTAGTGACGTCACCCGATTCTACTGTGCATGACGTTGCTCTTCTGACGGAGCTAGTGGGCCTTTACCGTGCCCTCTCTAGTGTGCCGAGAGTTCCCCGTTACCTTTCCGGCCCGTTCTTCATCACTGTCGACGCTAGTAGGGAGATCATTGCCGTCGTGGTCTGCGACAAGCTTGGGACACGGCTTTTCGCTCGAGCTCAAGTCATCCCTTCGGCCCGTCTATCTTGGACCATAGTGAGACAGGAGCTTACGGCCATTCTCCTCGGTGTTGAAGTGGGCACCTTCCTCTCCAGCCTCGGTGTGAAGGTTCGGTATATGTGCACGGACAGTCT